GGAGAAAGAGATGTACGCGTTTGGTGTTAAAAGCTGTCGCTGTGTAAAACAAGCCCTTAAATAGCCTTTCCCAGAGAAAAAAAAAGAGTGGATGAATTTAAGTGTAGTTATAAGTTTGTTCCCACTTGACCTATTTCTAGTAATAATACCTAATACTATGTAGTCTGGTGCTAAAGTGCTTTTGCGGACGGCAGAACCCAAACTCTTTGGAGGAGGAGGGAACCAGGGAAAGGGAAGGGCTCTGCTCCGCTGCAGTCTCTTCCTTGCAGGGGTAATTCCTGCAACTCATTTCTGGGCACAAAGCCCCAGGATTTCCACCCTCGTGGCACAGCAGAGGAGAACGGAGATCACGGCCCGTGACCTGACCGTTCTCCCTCCGGCACAGCCACTTCCAGCTCATTCCCGATGCCCACTGCCATCGGCCGGCCCCGCTTCCGGCCCGTCCGACCGCACCAGCCCATGGCCACCTGGCCAAAGTCCCGCAAGGCGCAGCGCGACAAGGACAAAAACCTCACCGGCACGGCCAGCTCAGCACCAGCCGCAGCAGCCTTTCACTTGTGACTCCAAAAGACCCCTATGCTGGTGACACAAGCCACCACCTGCTCATACCCGGCAATTTTCAAGTCAAGCCACGTAAAATCACAACCGAGCAGACTAGCCACGAGCCTGTTGTCAGCTCCTCTCTCTCCTTGCGGCCCTGTAAGGCAGAGTGAGCTCACTTCCCCCCTGGCTCCGTGCCTGCTCTTCAGCTAACCGCATCAAGCGCTAAGGCACTGGGAACAAGAACAGCGTGTGCTTATCGGTCCCCAGTGGTGCCTCAAAAGGTCCCTCCTGGGGCTTGTGCGGGGACTTGCAGGTGGTGCTGGACACAAACGCCTTCACCCTTCGTTTCATCCGCCTCCCATCTCCACCGCAGCATCGGCCCTCGCGGAGCCGTTTGCTTCGCAGACCCTCTCCCACAGCGACGAGGTGCCGACTCTGTAGGGACACGGTTGGGAAAGCTGGGGACAAGGACACGTTTGAGCCTGTGGTTCACAGCTGAGCACCCCAGGGAGACATCGCAGGCTGTCAGAATATCTAGACTTCAGTCTGCAAAGAGGTGGAGAAGTCGCAGCCTCCAGCTTTCAGGCTCGGAGATTCGCCACTACTGCGCTCCTTGGCACAGAGGTCAAGGCCTGGGCACTGTGGATGGTGACCACGGCCTCAGGGAGCCTCTGATGGGAATCACATCTCTCTCCTCCCTCGCACTTACACACGCAGGGTTAAGCCTACACAGCAGTTTAGAAAGAAAAGAGTCAAAAAGCATCATTTCATTTCCCTAAGGCAACCGTGTTATTAAAACAAGAGATCAAGAATCAATCCCTTTTTCTGTGCCCTATTTGTAACAGCAATGGCAAAGCAAGTGTCCCATCTTCCAGCTGAATGCTCCGGCCACCCCTCACTTTCAGCACAAGAGGAGAGAGACAGATTTTATTTCTCCCTAGCCCCAAGGAAGCCATGGCAAGAGATGGAAACAAACACCTGGAAGGACTCCGAGCAGTGCAGGCCATGGTTTGGGGGGAAGCACAGAGAGCACCTCCCCAGTGGCAACGGCAGCTCCCAGGGGACAGCAGATTCCTCCCGCACAGATGAAATGGGGACTTGAGATACCTGTCACCAGGTAGAGGTGTAGGCATCAAAGCTGATAAACCCCGAGCATCTAAAATGACTGCAAGTGAAGGTCATTACCGACCCAAGTGGAACAGCAATGGTCAACGAGGAGGCACATCTGTGCTTGCAAGGACCAGCAAAGCGGGGGACTGAGGCGAGCCATTCAGCACAGCCACTGCTGCACCGCTGCCTTCGTTCCAGCAGCACTGCGACCATCAAAGATCGGGTGGTGAGAGATTTTAGTGTCTCCTAGTGTAAAATGTCTTCTTGTTTTTCTCTTGCTTTCATCTTCCAGGCAGAAATAAAGAAAAGATGAAGAAACTGCGCAGTGCAGGTACCATATGAAATGAAAAGTAGAATAGGAAACGAAGACAATAGTTATCTTGAAAATCTGGTACAATATAGAACAGCGGAGACCTGAGGAAATCTGACTTACGGAAAATTGCTGATTACCAGACCTGTGTTCTGCAGGAGGGAAAAAACCAACCAACCAACCCACCCCCCAAAAAACAACCCCAAACAGAAAAACCCACCAAAACACCCCACAAAAAACGAGACTCACATTGAAACAGGGCACACAAAGACCCTCGGTATGTGCAATGAGCTAGGCCAACCTCACCACACATCCGACCCTCCCGGCGTGCCTGGTCACAGCAGGGATTACAAGAGGACAAAGTGGGATTCATTACGGCACAGCCAAGGAAAAGCAAGCAGACATCCACCTTAAGGGAAGGCTCCTCCCGTTCTGCCCTTCCCATCCTGTCAGCCTTAGCGAGACCACAGGACCTGCCAGGGTCTAAGCTCACTTTGTCTTCACATAAAACCAAAAGAAAGCAGATGGCACGATGTCTGCATCCTATCTGCCCACGCTATTTACAGATTATTTAGCCTTTCTGTGCTTGGTTTTCTTAACAAAACAAATAGAACTACTTGTAGCTATGATTTCTTTTCACGTTAAAACAAGAACTGTTCAATGAGCACAGGATGTTGTGGCAAGCCCTATACACGCGAAACTGATACCTGAGGAACAGCCAGTCCTCAAAGCTGTGCACGTGCCAGGTTTTCCGTTTCAGCAAATACGGACATCATCAAACCACGTACCTGAACAGAGGATACCCTGTCTTAACAAGGGAGCTCACCAGTGGCTAAAGACCCACTTCATGCTGAAATACAGAGAGCAGTTGTTACAAAAGAGCTGCTGGAAAGCAACGCGTCCACGCACTTCTGTTTCCCCTGGAGTTAACTCACCTCCCTCCCCACTGTTGACTCGTAAACCACAGCTGTGCATTATTAAACTGCTAAAAGGAAGAAAAGCAAAAGCCCCACTCCTGCTCTTCCTCCGACACCAGTGCAGCCCAGCGCAGTGGAATCACCCTTCGACTTACAGTGGTGTGTGTGAGACCAGAACCAAGGCCTTTGTGGCACAGAAACAAATTTAGCACAGAAAGCTGAAGAAAAAGTGTTTGCTTTTGTAGCAGGGTGTGAGGGGCTTGCCTTTCAAGACACACATTATTGGAAGCAAGGTTTTCCTGTCAAATGACTGCCAACAAGAACTAGGAAATGCAGTTTTGAGATTGCACCATCAGCTTAAAAGTGAGAGGATGAAGGTGTCAATAGGGCTTCCTTCCTAGAAACTAGGAAAGAAAAACTAGATCTAAGTTTTGGCAGACATAAGTACACCAAACCCACACACAATACAAAGATAATGCAGTGAAGAAAGCATGAAACTCCCTCGATCAGAAGCTCTGCTGCTTTGAATAGACGGAGGCACAGAATTCAGGGTTTCTTTGGAGTCACACCGCTGGGATTTCAGGAGCACCATACCTGGAGCCTGAGTTACACCACAGAAAGCATAGCTGCCTTCCTTACGCTGCACTTCGGGCTTACAAGGTTGAAGTAATTCTTTGAGCCGACAAAGCTGACAGGAGAACAGGCCACAGACAACAGGGGCAGACACAGGGACCCGTTCTGACACCAACTGACCTACAGTCACGTCTGCAGCTGCTCCGTACAGGCCGATAGCTGGTGACAGGGGGGTGCCGACAGGCAGACAGATGATGCCCCGAAGCTGCAAGCTCTGCCCATCCTCCTGCTGCATGACAGCCTCTCTGTCAACAAAAAGGATTTGCTCCGACTCCTTTCGCTGGACAGGAAAGGACCCACTCACCCAGAGCAAATAAGACAAAGTCCAGGATCATCATTCCAAAATGATAACTATATATATATGGACTCAATGATCTTAAAAGTCTTTTCCAACCTAAATGATTCTATGATTTAACTGCAACAAAACTTGTTCCGAAGCCTGTTTGCCCAGTCAATTCAAAGCATGTTCAGAAATGAGAGCAGCATCAGAGACCACTGCCTACGTCAGGCAAGGATTCAGTAGGTACGCAGCAACAGCTTGAGTTTAGTGTTTCTCAACGGCACGTGACAAAGGGACTGCCCAAAGCCTAGCAAGACCAGTGCTGATGAGAAACCCCTGGTCCTGCTCCCCTGGGCTGCCAAGGCACCCACCCGCTGGCCCCCAGCACGTCCCTCTGCCAGTCACCCCAGAACCGAGGTTCCTGGGCCAGGTTCTGACCCGTCCCCCATCTTCCCCAGCACCCCGGCCCATGCAGCCAGACTCGCCCCAGCCGCCTTCACCAGCTCCATAAGGAATCTCGCCCCACCTTACCTGGGTGAACTGTGACCCAGTGAACTGCCAAAGCTCTACTGAAAGCTAAGTGATGACCAAGTTCTTCAGCAAGTTTCAAGATAAGCTTTAATTATTCTAAAGGAGAAAAAAAGCCAACCCAGAATACAGCATTTACATTCAATCAGTCTCCTACGTAAGTTTAAATATTCGTGTGGCACACATTTTCATAGCCAAGTGGTTCCTCTTGGCGGACACCACACTAAAACATCAGACCGGGCGTAGTCACTGCCCAGCTATGAACGTAAGTACTAAAGTCGATGGAACTATTTCCATCTCAAATATTCTCATGCTGCCGTGGGTTCAGCACGGTAACATTTCTTACTAGTTTCAGAAGAGCAAGACATAGTCAAAATCTGTCCTAAAGCATCTTGGAAAGGACAACCTGACATCTTCCAAATGACTATCTGACATCTTCCAAATAAGTGGAATTTTAAAAGCAATTCCCCTGTCTTCTCATATGGATTGGTAAAATCACAGACCGTATTTAGGTTCCTGAGCATTTACTTAAGGTGTCCACATTCATCACCTTTGTTCTACTCGATGACACTGTGGCAGGACACAACTAGAACTGCTTTGGATCCAGCCAGCATAGGTTTTACCTGTGAAGAGGCTCGTGAGCACAGGTGATCTTGCGGGGTACTCTGGCAATCCCTACAACGGTGTTTTCACAAAGGCTGGCTCCTCCTCAGAAAATTCTGCTGAAATCTGGTTTTGGGAAGCTGCTTTCTCTGAGTACTTTTTCCCTGGTAAACACTTGCCAGTCCGAGGTAAAGCTTTTAGCTTCTCTGTCTTCTGGTGATTGGTTTTCACAAATCTTAGCAGGTTAACGATAGCAGCTGGTGTAATTCCAGGGATTCGGCTGACTGCACCAATCTGCATGTGGAAACAGGAGTAAGTTAACCCCGAACAAACGTACACACTGGAGCTAGGGAGAAATGAGATCCAAACCTGTGGGTATTCCTTTCCCTGATTCTTCTCACCCCCCATGTCCCTTGGCAAGACACAGAAAGGATTTCATTGCTGCTCAGCCTTGCTGTGGCCTGATATCTTACCGTCTGGGGACGGTTAGAGTCCAGTTTCTCCCGCACCTCCGCTGAGAGCGATGCGTCAATGGCAAAGTAATCTAGGTCCTCTGGTAGTCGGAGGGCTTCATCACGACGCACTTCTTCTATTTCCTGCTGTTGACTGACTACACACCACTCGTAGGCAGCTGTGATGGAAGAGCAGGGAAACAAGATGACCAGATATAGACGTTCATGTGAAACAGGTCACTTGCCCGAATTCTTGGGAGCAGAATGAGCAATTCCACTGAGACAGTCAAAAGCTCCTAAGGAAGCTTCCAGGCTCATGGACTAAAGAGCCTAATTCACATCATTTCTTTGGAAGAAGTCATACTCCAATTTGTTACAGGAATTAAGATACACCAGTTGGCTTTTCTTCTCATCCTAGGAAAGGGCGGGCTATTTGACAAAGCAGTAGGGAGGAAAAACCCGGGAGTAAACATGAATAATTGATCTCTCCCCACAAAGAGAAACACAGGTGCTTGCACAGGGTAAAATGTGCATGCCCTGGTAACAGTGCTTCATTTCACGAAGCAGCAACACGAAACACACTGGGATGAACGGACTGGCCCTCCCCTTACCGAACAAAACATACGCAGAACCCACTAAGAGACAGTAACTCTTGTACTCTACCTTCTATTTTCAGTCTCTCTGACAGTTCTCTCCATTGAGCAAGCTTTGCCAGGGGATCTGGGACAGCCCTTGCCAGAACCTCCATGTTGGCCTCCGGATATTGCAGGATGTCAAAGGCACTGTGCAGAACAAGAGTATGTTCTTATGGTAGGAAGGAGCCACTTGCAGGTTTACAGCTGTTCCCAGCCTGAGCTTGTAAAGATCTCGGCATAAGCCAGAACAAGTGCAGAGCCAAGCTCACCTCCCTGCTATGTCCTCTCAGCACACAGAAGAGCTGTTGAACTCTTAAAGAGGGGCTCTTTAAGAAAAATGGATGGCAAGATAGAGGGGACAAGGTAAAGGCACCAAGGGGAACCTTTCGCACAGACTGAGTCAGCCAGGTCTCAGTTACCGATTTAAAACTAAAATAAGGTGAGATAAAGGATGAGTAAGGGAGGCAAGGGCTTTTGTGTACAAGAACAGCTACCATCCAACACCAGCCTGAAATCAATCACTGCTTTATCAAGCTTTCAGCAAAGCTGCAACCCGCTGCAAAACCATCACCACTGGGTGACACTCTCAGTAAGGACAGCAAGCACTGACTGGGTCAGTGGGCTACCCCCTTGCTTTGGGAGCCTGTGTCAGCACCAGGAAATGTGGCATAGTAAAAATGCCAACATCACACTTATTCGATATGCAAACATCAGATGTCTGTTCACTGAAGGTGATAAAGCTGTAATTTTGGAGTACTGACGGCTTCAGGAAGGCTGGACAAACACTGTGAAACCACTAGCCAGATGTGCGAAAGCAAGCATAGGTCAGACCAGAAAGCTTCAGCTGTAACCTTTACCTGACAGGCGACCTTCGACTGCTACTGATGGGAACTTCTGGTATTAACTGGGACCATTTGGATATGCTGAACTGAAGGGATTTTAGTATTGCAATTCCATCCTCTAAAGCAGCTTTCATCTTAACTGCTCGTTCGTACCGCTGCTGTGACACACACCCAGCTTCTTCAAAACCTGCAGACAGACGGCGTATGAGACAAAAGTCTACAACCAGGCAGGGCTGCTCACTGCAAGAACCACCGTAATAAAACACCTCTGTGGGTGAGCCTGGCATCGGCATTGTCAGGCCGGAGGGACATGCGGAACTCCACGCGGCTGGTGAACATCCGGTACGGCTCACTGGTGCCCAGAGTGGTAAGGTCATCGATAAGGACACCGATGTAGCCTTCAGTGCGACTGACAATGAAAGGGGGCTTGCCATGAACCCGCAGGCAAGCATTGATCCCAGCAATCACACCCTAGGCAGATAGAAAACAAAACAAAAACCATTTATCAGTCTCTTTGTGGCTAAAATATCAGCACATCTGCCTCCAAAGACTCTTAAGACAAACCGTACCCTGGAAAATGCTGTGTTAGAAAAATGTCTGTGCTAGTAACCTACGCAGTTTCTTTCTTGTGAGCGTCTGAAGGGCTTCTTGGCCCCTGCTGACATGACTAGAGACAATTCCCACATGTTTTCAATTACACCCACTGCAGCCTCCACGCTGAAACATTTGACAGTGCTTCCAACTACTTCTGTTACTGCAATCTCAGTAATGGCAACCATAGATACCAAAAGTAAAAATACCTGGGCAAGTCTGGAATCAGGGTGAGCAATAAAAGTAGGAACACCTCATTAGCATGAGATGGGCCTAGCAAGACTGTGTATCAAAGACAAAAGCCAAGGCAGTATCCTTTTCTGAGTGCTGAGTACACACGATCAGATTCACCTACCTGAGCTGCAGCTTCTTCATAGCCTGTAGTTCCATTTATCTGGCCTGCAAAGAAGAGGCGCTGAACAAGACGGGACTCGAGAGAAGCAGTCAGTTGACGAGGATCTAAAAAATCGTATTGCACCCCGTAGCCTAAGACAAACAAGAAGACAGATCTTATGGGAGGGATTTTGAAGGTCCCTATTTATCAGCAAAGGCAATCTGTGGCACAGAATGACTTAGGTTATCAACTTTTATTTATGATTTAAAAAACAACCGAGGGAAAATCCCTGCATCCAAGAATTAATTTTGTTTCCTATTTCCTTTGTTTTGCTATGCTTTAAACAAAATCTGTTTTTTATTAACTGGTAACCAATATGACAAATAGATTAAAAACTATTCACCCCCCTCACCTGGCTGTAACACCTTGGCTTTCTCCAAGCCTGGGGTGGATTTGATCACCTGCTCCTGGAGCTCAGGTGGCAGGGTCATCGACATGCCTTGGGGATAAATGACATTGGACTCCAAGCCTTCCGGCTCCAGCCACACCTGATGTTCTCGGTTTGGGAAGCGCAGAACCTTTGATTCGAGAGAGGGACAGTATCTGCAAGAGTAAATAGAGAAAAAGTAACCTTTCAGAAGCAAAGCGGGAGATGCCCACAGTTTCAGACAGACGGTCAGCTTGTGCCATTGAGAGCCTTGCATGACGCCACATACTCACCGTGGGCCCCTTGTTGTCTCCCGGATGTGGCTGTTCAGGTGGAGGTTATCATGGATAATTTGCTGGGCTTTCAGGGTAGTGCGAGTCAGGTAACAGGACAGCTGATCTTCCGGCTGAAAGAGGTCAAAGCTCACTTTAAGTTAATCCAGTCACAATGCTGTATTCTGACTGAACAACTCCGTTTGAGGATCTCCAAGGGCTCTTCCATGACAATTGGCTCCCACCTCCTGGAGATATGGGCAGTGCTGTCATACCCACTGCACAGACAGAACACGAGAGCTTCAGCAACACGCCCAAAAGCAGACCAAGAACAGAACTTTGGAGTCCGGAATTCGAGTTCTATTCTACACACGGTATTCCTAATTACCGGATGGATATTCCTATTAAAGCAACACATTGTATCACAGCGTTCAAATGAACCACAGACATGCAAACCTCTGAAGTTAAGAGGAAGAAGTGCTGACCCTGCAGCTAACAGCCAATTAAAGAGTCTGGTGAAGAAAAAAAGAGAAATCTCTCAAATCCCTGCAATTAACACGGAAAAGTCAAGTTTTGGAAAAAAAACACCATGGAAAGTACTTCACTGATTTTTCTCAAGACAAGTCAATAGTCTCACATTCAAAATAGTAATAATGTTGCACCTCAACTCCTTAAAATCTTTCCTACATGTACCAAGGACTTGAACGGATATTACTTTCACCCTGTCACAATAATAATAGGTTATTGCAATTCCTATATGCTCTGGGGCAAATTAACTCCTGATACTTCATTCTGTGCTGTTTAACTACATTATGCAAGAACGCCATCCAATTTCCAAGACCTGCTTTGAAAAATTGAGTTTCTTCTGCTTTTAACTTATTGTTAACATGCCACCTCTGAGCGCTGTGGATAACTCCATCCTTTCTCTTTCCTAGTCAGCACTATTAATGATCTCCAATTTCAACATTTTAATCCTATTCTAGAGCTGGGGTAACAAGCAAGACATCGTAAATCTCCGCAATACAGGTCTAATACTGGAAGTATTTTGTAAACTAGCCATGTAACCAGCACTTGGAGAATACTACTAATAACGTATTTTGCTCAATTATGACTCTAAAATTAAAGGAAGTTTGGTTCTCAAGTTGAGAAGCGAGAGGAAAAAGGTACTTGCTTTCAAAAGAAAACAAGCAATTTCTCCCGTTGCCCTGAGAGTCCTCAGAAACATAACACCCCCAGAATGAATACAGCCCAGCTCCCTTTCCCAGCCATCAACTCCCTGGCTGATTCCAAGCATGACATTCCCAGAACCACTCCCCATCTGGCTCTATGTGCATCTGATGTGTGCTATCCCACCTTGATCCACACAGCCTCGCTGAGGAAGCTGAACGGCACCGGAGGATTGTCAGCTGCACGTTCCTCCAGACCACTGAAGTCAATCGTATCTTTGGCGAGTCGGGGCGGCGTCCCAGTCTTCAGCCTGCCCACAGCAAATCCCAGTTTCTCCAGCGTCTGAGCCAGTCCAATGGCTGGCTGGTCCCCTAGCCGCCCAGCCGGGTGCATCTCCAGTCCGATGAGGACCATACCCCTCAGAAACGTACCGGTGGTCAGGATAACACTCCCAGCATGTATGGTGCTCCCATCCCCTGAAACAGCAAGTTTTCAGAGATGCATGTGTTTTAGTATCAACAAACCCCCGGTATTCCGGTGTTTCTGTCTAAAACCCGACTAACAGTGTTCACTGAGGGTTTATCCACCTTTTATTATTCAACAAAATTAGCATTTCAATAATAAAAGCAATAATAGTAACAGCTGCGATAAGCAGCATGTAGTTATTGCTATATTTTTCTTATTCCTAAGCATGTTACCCCTCACATGCAAAACCCACACCTGGGAAAAAAATCCTATCCAGGCCTCTATGTTGGAAAGTTTGTTTCCTAGAACAGCAAGGGGTAACAAAGCATGAGTCTGCTAGCAACAGGACACCACTGCCCCGTGACGTTGTCCGCAGCACAGGCCACTTACCAAATAAAAACCTCAAAACACACTATGGAATTCAGTGTCACTAGCCTGAAGAAAATTAAACTTATGTAACCTCCCAATATCCCATCAATTCAGGTATGTTTTTCATTGTATTACACGAATAAACCTAGTTTAGCTCACACTCGGCCTAAATCACCTCTATCGGCTAATTCAGCTTTCCCACTGATGAATCGGAGCTGTTTACCCCAAAGGGTGCTCTCAGTGCAGAGTAACTGAAGGTGCTCGCGGAGTTATTAGCACATACCCAGAACGACGCCTGTGACTTGGCATTTCCCGGGATGGTCTGGTTCTGGTTCTCTCAACAGAAGATCCTCCACAGATGCCTCATGAACTGTCAACAGTGGTGTGTTAAGGATTTCTTTCTGTCATGAAAGGAGTCACTGCAAAAATCTAGGAAGTTATGGGACGCATGGGCAGTCCCAAACCCCGCTGATTTCCAAAACATCTATCACCCTCCTCGCTTTTCCGTTCTTACCAGGTCACCTGATCTATCAAGTAGAACTTTTCATTCACAGACAGAGTTTAAGCTCAAAAGAAACTATTTGGCCATGAAGCCTGACCACTAAAACACTAGAGAATTTTTTAAACTATGTTGAGCTGGAACAACTTACACTACATTAAAGTAGCAAACAGAAAGGTGTGTAGGTCTGATAAGAAAATATTAAAAAAAACCCAAAACACATTCCCCTCATCCTCTGTAGTTTATCCTAATACTTCAGGTTTAAGTAATTCATTCTAATACTCCAGCTCACAAACACACACACAAAAATATTCCTGGAAATAAAACCGTGTTTTTAAACTATTACTTTCTTTTAAAATACCCCACTCCCACG